GTGGGGCGGGCGCCCCCGCCCCTGGCCGGGGATGATGGGGTCCGGAGTGCAGGTGCCCGGAGTTGATGGGCGCAGGAGGAGGAGGAGAAGGGGCGCCGGGTTGGAGGAGCAGCGCCAAGCGGCCCAAGTCAGAGCCGAAGACGCAGCACGATCCCCCCAAGGAGGGACTGAACCCCGGCGGGCGCCTTGTTGGAGACGGCCACGGTGGGGCCTAAGCTAGCGAGGTGAGGTTCCCCTCCCTATTTTCGGGGGGGGGCTTTTTCCCTGCTCAGCAGCCTCCTCCTGGAGGCTATGGTGGGCCGGCCGGCCCCCCTGCCAGTAAACTCTTCTGAAGCATCCTTTCTTACTTTCGGGAGTTTCCCACAATCCACTGGGGGAAGGACTGGAGGATGGAGGCTGGGGAGGAAGAGAGGGGCTGCGAGGTAGGCAGAAGCGGGGGCGGCAGTTGCCCCCCCCCCAGTCGTCCCCTCATCCGGGGAGAGAATAGACCCACTCCTTCCAATCTGCCCTTCCCAATGGTGCCCTTTTCTTCTCCGATTCTGATGCCCGCTGGCGCGATCCCAGTTCTCTTTGTTCCCTTTGTTGAGCGTGGGTCCCGATGGGGGGGAGCGCCGGGCTCTGAGAGCGCCCCTCCCTCTTCGCGATGCCCAGCCATCGCTTCTCTCCCCCTGCCCACTAAAAATAAATAAAACACACCCCTCGCAGCCCAGCGGAGCCTCCTTCGTGCCCTGCCTTGCTCCACTTCTCTTCCTCCAGCCTGCCTCTGCGTCTGCTGCCTCCTGGGGGGGGTCCCAGTGCCAGCCTCCCCGCTCGGAGAAGGCACAGCCCAGCCTCAGCCCAGGATTCTCCACCACGTAGGAGCGTAGTAGGTAAGTCCACCCCGGTCGCTCTGGGTGGTGCGTAAAAAAGGTGCCTGGGGAGGGGGGCAGAGGCAGGGTGCCCTCTAGACCTGACCAACCTTAAATCCCAAACTTTGGGTGAGAAACGTGGAGACCTTGGAAATGTTTTGCTCGTGCCAACGGATCTGGGAAGTGAAGGCTTCCAAAAAGAGAAGCAGGGGAGGGGGGAGAACATAATAAGCAAGGGGTAGATGTCACAGTGGAAAAATGAATCTTCTGCTCCGGGAGGGGGCAAGCGGGGTGAGAAAGGGCTTTGGAGCCCATTAACCGGATTTTCAAAACAGATCCTGTCCCCGCCTTCCCCCTCCCGGCTCCATAAAGGTGAGGTGGGACAATCCTACCTGTGAATATAATCCGGAATCAAAGTGGATTCAAGGGAGACCATCGGGGAGGAAATTAGAAACTTCATTCATAATCATTTCCTTCAATGTTTGTCTGTGCCTGTGAGTTAACCTCGTTTCGTTGGCACCCCTGGTTGGCTTTTAGAAACTCTACTGTAATACAAAGGGAATAAAATCAAACTTTCCCCCCTTTGGCTCAGGGACAAGCCGATTAATCAATAAATCCCCAAATGATGATAATATAATAACTATTATGCTCTTGCACAATGCCATTCATCCCCTCTCCTCCCGGGGGGAATGGAAACAAAAACCCCTTTTCCATCAGCAACTTTTGCCTCCAAGAGATGCATTTGGAGAAGAAAAAAAAAATTGGATTTATGTTTAAAACATCTCCCAAATTGGGGGTCAGAGTTGGAGGGTTGGGGGGGGTGGAAGTGGCCGATAAAATCTATAATGTTATCCCCTTGAGGCTGGGAAAGAGGGTGATAATTGTGGGGGAACAGACCCGTCTCCCTTTTTGTCAAATTCCTTTTAGAGGGTTTTATCTTTTCTTTTGACAAGCTAGCACAATCCCAGCTCTCCCCCCGCTGAGTTAGTTCAATTGCCAATTTTATTCCTCCTTTTGTGACCACGCTGCCTGGTTTTCAGGGGGCTGGTTGGCGTCTGGTTTTTACAAATGTGCAAGTGAGGAGGCTCTGGAGAGAAAAAAGGGCCACCAGGAACCAAATGGCCCTGTCCCCCTCGCATGGATGTTGCCCCCTACTCAAAACCTCACATGATAACTTGTTCTCAAGAGGGGCACGCACTTAGGGGTCACACCTTCCTCTGTGCAAAAAGAGAGAGAGGGTCAGGGTAACAAGGCGTGAACCCCAGATGTGGCTTAATTTGCCACGCAGGAATACCGTGGTTTGCTTTAGGCTCTGCAGAATTTGCAGCCCAGCCGATGGTGGGGTTTTTTCCTGCAAATCTTGGCTGCAGAGATTCTGCGTTTTCTAACAGCGGCCCTATCTGCGTGCTTCCTTAGGAAAATAAAACTGCATCTTTGCAGCTCGCTTACCTGGATCAGGTCCTTAGCCCAGCATGCTAAGAGTTGGGGAGGGGGGGTTGTTGTTTCGGTCAGCTTGGTGGTTTGATGGTTATCGTGAGATTTGCTGCGATATTAATTCAGCCAATTGCTGCCTCCCCATTGGCTGCAGCTAATTTTGCCCTGGAATAAGCCCCACAGTTTTCACTCTGCTTCGGGGCTGACGTTCAGACTTTGCGCATCTCAACCTCCGAAAGAACTTCCAGGCGGTTTGTCCAACTGTCACTGCCGGTGGCTTCATAGATTGGTGTTTTTTTCCAAGCCTCTTCCAGGGTTACCTCCCAGGATATTTAAAGCTGCAATCTGATACTAGCCCTATTTTTTTGAAAATGTGCCCCACTGATGTCCGGAAGGGGGTGCCTTTCATGTTCTTCCCCTTATATACTGTGCTTGGCTGCCTTGGCTGATATTTCAGGAAGCTGAGTGGTGCCAGGCCTGGTTACTGTGTGATTGGGAGGCATGACAACTTCCCCAGGTGGATTGAGAAGTCAAAAAAAATCTCAGAAGAGATGTTGCCTCTGTGGCCAAGAAGAGCCCACCAAGGAGCCCGTGGAGTTAACTGCAGATTTTGTCTAGTTTAAATATCTTTGGAATGGCTCTCAACACACAGAGTGGCAGAGCCCGCTATTTGTCACTAGGGGCTGATGGCAACCTCTCAACTCTGTTGGCAGCCTTGCCCGATCCGAGACATCCCTTGCCAATCTGAGCTTCGCCCTCACCCGATCCAGGCTCCCCCATAGACCCTCCAGGCATCTTCAGAAGAGCTCAGGCCCCGTGGCATTTACCCCGTGGGCATTCAGACAATGCAAGAAAGAGGCTCCGGTGGGTTAAGGAGAGTTGGCACGGGCAGATTTCCTTGCTGGAGTTTGGGTCGGGGTGGGATCCTGTTCTCCGCAGCGCCAAGGAGACCCTTGACTTCTGTTAGGTCACTGAGCTGAGATGCTTCAAAATGTGCCAACGGAGCGACGCGTTGCTGGGCAGAGCGGCCGGATGAATAAATCGAATGAACAGAAACGCAAATGCATTATGCTCGGCTGGAACGCTTCCAAGCTGGCATAAAACCTCGCAGGTATTCTGGCTGGCGGGTCCCGTTTCTCAATCGGCTCTTTTCACCCTGAAAGACGCTCGGCAGCCGTTTACAAAATAAAACCGGTGTGATGCCAAAACCCTGGAGTCTTAAAAGCATAGGAGAGAAGGCAATTGAAGTAGTGTGTGTGTGTGTGTGTAAGGTGGGGGCGTTTGCTTAAGCTGTCCCTGTCTAAAGGCAGGGAGGGTGGGGAAACCGCCCGCGCCACCCTGAACTAATTGAAAAGGGGCACATTTCAGCCGCAAGGGCCCGAGGATTGAAGCTGCTGAATTGAAGCTGGGGGCATTTCGCTAAAATCAATGCAGGAGTTGACCTGGAAAGCAGGCCAGGCCGAGAGATTTAAAAAAAACCTCTTTACAAACCTGAGTCAATACCCCGGAAATAATCAAGAGTAATTGCAAGGAGGGGCACGCCGAAAGCGTCGGCAGGGGGTGCTGCAGGGCGTCTGGGGGCACCGTCCCTGGCAAGGGAAGAGGAGGAGGAGGAGGTGGTCAATTTCCCAAAGCAGTTGCGTCCGTGCCTGCTGCGTCCCGGACGTCTGCCGTTGGAATTTGAGCGAGCAGATGGAGGCTGGCTCAGCGGGGCGGGGGGAAAACTCATTTTGCCCACAATGGGGGCTTCCCCCTTCCCAGTTGCTCACGGCATGGAGGCTGGCAAGGCTGGCTTGGCTTCTTGCCGTCTCGTACATCATCCCGGCCCCTGCCAAGTCCCGCTGATGCGCTCCTGTGCCCACGCGGGCAGGGCCGTCGCTGCCCATCGGCTCAGAAACGTGCCGCCGAGGTCCGTCCAAGGATTGTGGGCTTTTTTCATTTTCTCAGCATCCTTCCTCCTCTGGCAAAGTTGTCTCACAGACGGGGGGGACCGCTCATCCGGACGGTGGCGTGAATGCCGCACCTGTTTTGTGGCTTGGCATGAAGACCAGCTTTTTCTCCAGCTTTTGAAAACCGCCCCCTCTGATCCAGCGTTTTGCAGCTACGCCCTGGAGTTGGCAACGCCAGCTTTGGGGCGCTGACGTTTTTCATCTCTGCTTCTGTTGCTTTTTCCTAGTTCTTTGGCCTTGGAGAGCGGGCGGCATCAAGTCGCTGGTATCTCTTCAGGACTGGCCCTTGAAATGTTTTGGGCAGGGAGGAAAGGGCAATGCCAGGGTTGGAATTTAGACGGCTGATGTTGCTTCGAAAAGGGTTCCTTGTGAAATTATTATGTTTTTACTGTGAAGGAGGACTTAGACCAGTGTTTCTCAACCTTGCGGACTTTAAGATGGGTGGATTTCAACTCCCAGAATTCCCATGCTGGCTGGGGAATTCTGGGAGTTGGAGTCCACCCATCTTAAAGTCCCCAAGATTGAGGAACACACTTAGACATTTCTTTGTGCCCAGCCTGTGGTGGCAGAAGCTTTTGCGTGAAGCAGTAAAACATTGTGCGCGGGCCCCAAGGCGGGGGGGATTTGTAGCTTCCTGCCAGCCTTGAATGTTTGCCATCTGCTCCGGTTCTTGCGTTCTCCCTCCTGAAGTTTTACTCTGGAGGCAGACCAGCTGGTAGGTGGAACCAATCAAGAATGCCAGCCAGTCTTGCCTCCCCCCAGAAGGCCCGCTTTGAGCAACAGCTGGTGCCCGGCGATGTGTCACTCAGTCCTCTGGCGCTGAGGAGGGGGCTGCCTCTCAGAGGGGGACGCCACACTTGATTAATGACCCCATTTGCATCCGACACGCTTCCCGTGGGGCAGCCCTCGCCCATGCTCAGACCCCGCATGGAAGGGGCCTATCTGCGTGGGGAGGGAGGGGGGTTGCATCCCTCGATGCTCGGTGGGAACGGCAAAACGGGGCTCCATTGTTTGGAAATGGAAGACGTGGTCTGAAAGATGGATGGCAGGGCGCCGACTCCCCGAAAGCGTTGCCTGAGACGGCTCCGTCACTGCGCGACCTTCTCAGAAATCAAGTCCACTAGAAAGGTGGCTTTTCCGGAGTTTTCAGCCATCCTGTTGTATCTGTGCTCCAGGAAGGTAGGTGCCGAAGTCTCCACGGCTGCCGTTTGGGAGGCCGTCGGCCAGGGATGGGGTCCGCGGCCTGTTTGAAAGAGAATGGTGGTGCTTTGCGTGCAAAGTCTCCCTGCCGCTTTATCACTTTTCATCTCCATGGAAAGATCAGCTGTGAAGTGGAATTGTCTAGAATAAGGGCTCCTTTAGGTGGGCCGGCGGTCTCCCTCTACCTTCCCCATCGGTGCCCCTCTAGGAAGACCACTCTCCAATCCTGGAGGTTCATAATGTCTTATTTTGCTTGTTGCAGGCGAGGGGGCTGGAAGCATGGCCTGCTCTCCCCTTTGGTTCTTCTCCGTGCTGCTCCTCCGTCCGACGGCCACCAGCGCGCTCAGCTCGGGATCCAGGATGGCCTCCACCTTCCCGGAAGATGACAACAGCTTCCCAGGCCAGGATCCCTGGATGTATTCCCTGGGAGTCGCCCCGTACCGCCACCGGCAGGGGTTGGAGAGCCAGCAGACGGACCACGATGGGGCGCTGTCCGGGTCACCAGGCTCCCGAGAAGTTGGCGGTCCTCAGCTGCCGAGCTGGCCCGGCTTGGAGGGGCCGGAATCGGGCGCGATGGCGCGGCCCGCCGTGCTCCCGC